CCCAATCATGAGTTTCTCCAGGGAAAGCAACGAATGGGAGTGTGTGTGCGTGTGTGTGTGCGTGTGCGTGTGTGTGTGGCCTCTGACATCTGACCTTTTTCTCTGACAGCCACAGGAGTGCGTGTGTGGGCTGACTGTTCACAAACAACGTGGGAGAGAGCATGAAAAGCTATGTACGCGCGCACCGTTAATGTAAATCTCTGAATCAGAAACAATGTCAGGGCTTCATAGAGAGTGCTTTATCAGTGAAGCGAATGAGAAGCTAATGAACTTTGCTGACGAATGTAAAGGGTGAGAGAATATTTGCTGTGGGAGGCCGATGACAGCTGAGAATGTACTCCTCTCATACTCCTCTCATTCACTTCCTCCATTCCTCTCATTCATGGTTGACTCCTTTCGATCTCAGTTTAAGTGAAGACCCTCTTTTTGGCTAAATATCTTAATTATACGCGACTTACCGTTAATAAACTATACAAAAAAAACCCACAATTTTCTCGATTGTATAACCTTACGAAAAATCTGCAAAGAAATCGGTCTATTTTCTTGTTCTTTTTGGAGCTTAGTGTATTCTTCTCTAAATATTTGAGAAAAAAGAAAAGGAGTATAAACAAATATAACAGAAAAGATAAAAAATGAAAGAAAACAGAGACATAAGACGAAACAGAAAACATGAAATGGAAACATAAAACTGAGAAGCAGCTAAAGAAAACAAGTAGCGCCAAAAAGAGATGCTAACCCGTGTTAGTCAGGGACGAAACATTTGAACCACTTGTGGTATTACGACAGCCGAAGAGAGATAGATTGATAGAATTGAAGTTTTCAAATGCCTCAGCTTTCAGTTATACACTCAAAGCAGCCAGCAAAGAGCCAAGGCTTATCAGACAACACTGAAAGAAGCGCTCAAGTATTTCTGAAGCCTTTCTCCAGTCCCATGGTACCACTCTACTCCATCGGGCCCCATCAGCTACACTTAGAAGAAAAACAAGGCCAATGAGGGCTGGAGAAAAAACAGAGAAAGAGAATGGGATGCAGGGATGAGAAAGAGGAAAGACTGTTCTCTTGTCTTTGCATAACCACGTCATGTTCCCGGTGGGAGACAACAATGCAGCCTCAACCCAAACACATAATCTACTGTAGTCCACATGTATTCTCACAGGCAAGGCCCCATTTAGACATTTAGTGGTTACACGCTTCCTGGGTTCCTAATCCCATGGCAATTCTCTGATATGAAACATGCAGGGATGAGAGTTTTTGCACATCATGAGCCTGACCGTCCTTCCATACCTTTGACCAAAAACACAAACAAATCAGCAAAAAGATGAAAACAAGTTGCCTTCAGAATGGAACAAAGCACAATATCACTTTATTAAGTTATGGTGGAGGCTGGGTGTCTTCCACAAAGACAAAGAGCACTTTCAGTAACATCGTAGCATATAATCAACAATGTGGCTTCGTTAAGGTCATCTGCTTATTAAAGTGATACCAAGATAAGAGGCTTCAGGCTAAACATGTGATGGATCCGTTTTCTGTTATACCTCCAGGCAGAAGATAAAACAGACAGAAGAGAAACCAAGAAAAATGAACTGAAACTCAGAATTTATTTTAACTTGACAACCCGAAAAAAGCTGGCAGCAATTGCACTTTTCTCACTCCTCCTTTATCTTCAAAGTTGGATGCTTCCTTGTAAGTCTGCAACTACCAATTATTTTTATAATAAGGTGATTTACTTTTCAATCAAGCGATAATCTTTTAGTCTATGGAAAGCCAAACAAATGGCCATCACAGAGCCGAACATCTCTTCAAATGTGTTCAGTAAAAAAAAACCAGGGACTCTCCTATTTGAGAGGCTTAAAACCAGAGAAATTGTTCCACTGTTTCTGCTTGAAAAATGACTGAAAATAATTTAATATCAAAATAGTTGCCAATTCTTTTTCCGGAGATAGACTTATCGATTAAAGGACGTATCGTTCCAGCTCTGCTTCCTTCTGTTTGCCTTCCACTGTGAATCACAGACCAGACCACAGATCCACAGAGCCCCTGGCCACAAGTTAGTAGTGAAATCCAGGCAATAACTGCAATTTACAGCCTGCTTTGATTAGTCTTTGTTATGACTGACTCCCACCCACACAAGTTTCACTGCTAGCCAAGTGCAAATGTTGGCACAAAAACTGAAAAACTACAATGGGTGATAAATCTTCACACTGGGAGCTACTGGAGGGAACGTCTTTGAGTAGAGATTCTGGTAAGCTCCTGTTGACTGCAACAAAGACAAATATCGTTTTTTGGGAGCCGGCAGGCGGGTGGAATAGCAGATGGACACTGGGTGGCCTCCTGAAGCCATAATGCATATTTACCTGCATAGTGTCCGACTAACCAAGCTAATCAAATTATATACACCTCTCCCCCTCACTGTTAAAGGACCCTGATCCATGCAGTGGGTGCACCGCTGGGAGCTGCCCCCCCCGTGTGCCGACACCCTAATGAGTTTCATGTGAGGAGCATTAAAACGGCTGCAGTGAAACTGACTGAAGCTGGCAGGGAGGCACTCTGTGATCCAGTCACTGCAGACACATACATTGGGTGGGATTTAACATTATGTCTATGTTTATTGACAATATAGAAATAATATCGGCACTATAGGACATTATAAACGTACTATTAGGTGTTTTACTTAACACATTTAGGTACAAATGCCTCTTCATTGCTTAACCAAATACTTAATTGTTTGCAAAAGCTCAGTTATTATTGATTCAATAGCATTTCTTTAAATGAAAATGCCACACCCTGATAGTGACTTTATTATGCACTGGGTAATTTTAGCCAAGCAACTTTACGACTTCACCCCAAACACTTAACCAGAGAGTTGGAACGATTCCAGTTCAGCAAATTAGCCTCCACCAACCATTTAATATTGCATCTTATAAACACGACCAGTAAAGTAATGAGGCAGTTATAAATAACATTTTCTGAGCTGGAGGCAGATGGGTTATATGAAGTAAACTGACCTAAAAAATGAAGGTGCAAACATAACAACAACAGGGCTGGGGAGAAAAAGATCATGTGATATTATGGCTATACTACATTGACAGAAATGTTGAGTATAATCTCATTACAAAACAGTTATTATAATATTGACTGAACTTTACTAAAATAGTTTTGGTTACTTTGACTAAGATAAGACTTAAATTCCCTTTAGAAAGGATAATGTTGACTAATTACAACATTTGACACAGGACTAGGCCATTATAAACAATAACAACAAAATAAACACTACAAGTGCAAGTTGTCGCTTGGACATTACAGTAAAGGCAAACCAAGCTTAACACACAGGCGGACACACACATCACATGACCAGTTGCTCTGCTCATAACAACTACACTGTCTTACATAAGAGTCTCTCTTCAGTAATCATGACACAAATGCAAACACAGAAGCACACAAACAGACACACACCCTGATGAGGATGGCATCTTCTCCTAACTCTGCTAGAATGAAATGTTGAGAAGAGTAACTTTAACAGAAAGACTATGACGTAACAAGACATACAAATTCTAGATGCATGTAGAAATCTGCTTTTGTTTTGTGAAAAATGAGAACACTTCTCTGTGGGGGTCCTATCTAAATGTCTCCCTCTCTGTGTCTCTCTCGCGCTGTTTACTGGCACTCGTTCCAACTGTATTTGTTGTGGGGCTAGCATGCCACAGGCCCGAATTGCGTAATGACACACAGAGACAGGGAGCTAACTTACAGAGACTGCATTCATTCAGCAAATGAACCCGAATCAACGGCCTGCAGTGCCTGTCTGAAGTAAGAATTAAGGTTGGAAAACACAAAAGGGGTTAAATCAACAATAAGCTCTGCTACAGAGGGCGGTAAGCCCATTACAGTAACAGTCAGGTGACTGAGTTCAGGCTAATGGTCAATGGACACAGTGACGCAACCTCTAAATCTTTTCCTCTTCGCTGCATCTTGGGTGTAAAACACCATCACATGGTAGAAGGGGAGAGAAGGACCCCAGGCACATAACCATGCACAAACTATTGAAAGGAAATGAAAGAATAAAACATACCGAAGATGTATTACTCTACAAACAAAGAGAATGAATTCCAAACATGGACAAATTGGAGATACACGTTCATACGGCCCCATAAAGTCCTTATCATGTTTGCTTTGATGGATGTGTCCCCTCTCCTCTGTTTTCCACTTTAACAACTGTTTCCAGAAAACAGAAAGACTGGAGAGTCTGTGCTGCTGACCCCCGGCACAAAGGACAGCTTGTTAGAGAGATGGGCTTGTCTTCTACTCTCTCTGACTTATAGTCATCTGAATCTGCATGTGTCTGGTTCTCTTTGACACTTGTGTTTTGTAAAAAAAATGTAGGGCTGTTTTGGGGTCCTTTTAGAGACACACAGTCTGAACATTTTGAAGACCCTGGATATGAAGTCATCCTGAGCAAGATGTTGAATCACTGCCAGCTTACAGAGCCACTGACCTCGACCTCTGCCTCTCTGGATGAGGGCAGATAAAAAGACCAATTTGCCCGCATGCATCAATCCCTCCAGAGAGAAGCATTAGACATAACTGTTTGAAAAGCTGCTATGTGTCTGAATGAATCCAACACTCTGGTGTTTCTTGCCCAGTCTGTGCACTTGTTGTTGGCGTGGAGCAGAACATGTCTGGCACCTGCTTGCTTCGCCAGCATCATCATTTATCAAGTCCCAATAAAGGCTGAAGGCAGCCCTCTGGCACCAGCGCCCTGAATGCGTAAAACAGCAGAGCAAGGCTGACCAAGAGGACACGTGCAGGTTTAACATTTGGTTAAATTATGTTCTGCACCAATCACTTGCCACACATCATTTAAGAGACATTTCCATATTGCTTAATGACATGGCAGCACCATTGCAAACTATGAGGAAGTTACAGATGTTGCACCGTGCATGTTATTGTTATGATATCAGCGATGCAAACTGTATATCAGACGTGAGTTCCTTTTCACTCACCTCCTAGTCCGCCCAGGGTCGCAGCCCAGGAGGCTCCGGGGAGGAGGCACAGCAGCGCCGGGAGCAGGATCAACATCTCACCGCCAGGATTCATCATGGCTCGGCTCCTGTCCTGGTCCAGGACGGAGCGGAGGTCCGGTCTGATTTCAACACCAAAGTCCCTTAGTCGTGGTTTCAGCTGAGATGCATCCTGATATGGTTCGCAGGTTTCTTCTCTGAGTTCAAAAAACACGCAGAGCTCGAAAGCTCCAAATCAATGTTTAATAAGTTATGTTGTTACGTTTTAATTAAATTAATGCTTTCTTAAATATTTGAATTATGCTATCCTGCTACAGGTTACTGTTTTTTCCCGTAGCTGCACAAAGCTCACAGAAGTGTAATGCAATCCGCTCAGCGCAATGTAATATTTGTATTATCTGCAAAAGAAAAGCGACATGCTCAGAACCACAAGAACACATGTGTAGTTATATTGTAGTTGTATTTGGGGTGTATATTCCAGTCCCAAACTGTGTGTCAAAAGTAATCCAAAGTACCGTCCTTCCGTGCAGAATACTGTCCAGTGTGCAGGGTGAGAATAAACTGAAGCCTCGCTCCTATCCCCGGTCGCTCTGTGCCCCGGTGTCGCCGTGCTTGTCCCGCTGATACAGAAAACACCTCCGCTGGTCTTCAGTTTAATATTATCTGTTGAAAAATAAAGCGTAAAAATCACGTTTCCGTCCGTGGAAGTGAAACTAAATTGAGAGCGCGCGTTGAGTGTCAGAGGAGCTCGAGCGCTGGCACGGTGTATGGAAGCTAGTGACCGGCGCGAGGAGGAAAGCTGTGCTGCCTGCTCCAGCGCTCGAGTGCTGAGAGTCTCGCGCCCCGCCCTCCGAAAAGTCAGCGCGAGAGTACACAACAGGTAAGGGTGACGTCACGGCAGACAGGTGCACAGTGCACACCTCGTTGAAGTTCATATTAAACTACTGAGAACAATGGCGTTGTTTAAGTGACGTTCTTTTAGGGATTAATTCCGTTGCAGGCAGTAATGTTAGGGAGTAATTCAAGGTTTCAATGTGTCCCACTATGATCATATGGTGGAACATTCTGCACTGTCAATGCAATATGCAAACCTGCAGTGGTTATAGTAAAACCTGTCATTGCAATAGGTCGACATAAACTATAGAGTATCTAAAGAATGCACAATATAAAATATAGAGAAAACGTTACAATACTTTATAATAGACAGATCTACTGCAAATAAATATAAAACAGAGGATACATTAAAAAAGTGTGTAAAGAAGTATATCATATTAAGTTTAACATTTAGATGCATTGAGGTAGTGTGAGTAAATATGTATGCAAATTGAGTGGAGCCTGGTGAAGAAAAATAAAATAAATATGAAGCTGTGAGTTTTCATTTGACGAGGAATATTCTCTCTGCTCCTTTTATGTGCTCCTGTGGTCTGGCTTCCTTAATCCACCTTTCAGTCATCTGACATCATGGGGGGCGGAGCGTCTAAAGCTATGGTCTAAAGATGATTAAATCCTAGAAGTGAGGTCAATGGTCTGCAGGCCTTAACCACACTAATAATCCACAGGGAGATTGTTTTTCTGCCATGTGCTGTTAATTTCTCCTGACATTTACATCTTCAGTGCTTCAAAAACTCAACTTAATGTGTATTAAAGTGGTGTCAAAACAAATTTCTTTAAAAACAATAAGCTCCTAGTAAAGAGATGGCTCAAGCTTGTGTTGAAATGCTAATATTTTGGGATAAATTGTGCAGCAGCCAAAACTGCATTACTGGAAACACTCCCGCTCAATCTCTCTTTTCTCTAAGGATAGCAGGGGCTGCTGGCAGTGCTGACCGGGCCAATTTCACGGGGCGGGGGTGCAGACATGTACCCCCACTATGGCACAAAAGGGAGGGGTCACAGAGGACCATGGATTAAAGGATTTGGTAGACGGAGAGGGGGAAGGAGAAGCTGGAGGAGGAGGACAGGGGTCAGAGGTAAGAGAGCCATGATAAAGAAAAGCCAAAAGGAGCTAAGAAGTGAGCGGCGCCGTCGCTAATCGAGCCTGATTACACTCACACTGTGCGTGTCTCATCTTTGCTCGGCCGATGACTTTTCAATGACTTAACATCACTCAGCATCACAATGAACATCTTTATCACTGGCAGTTCTAGCGGCCGTTGGGAGATGGAAACCCCCATGGTGCCTTCACCCATGACTTGTGGGTGGCTAGTATATTCATCACTGTCAGGGTGGAGGTCCAACTCAGGGTCAGTTATTGTTCAGAATGACTGCAGTGTAGCTGGGATAATAAGGAAGGTGTTAAAACTTCATGTCATTCAATATGTATCAAACTTCTCTGAGCTGAACTCAAGCTTACAGCTGCCCCCTGGCTGGACAGGTGAAGCAAGTGCTAAAAAAAGATTAAATAATACACTGAAAACACAAACTGGAAAAAAAATACTTAAATGTCTCCATATATTCAGACCACAAATACAATGCACAGACACAGTCAGAGATTGATTGAAGCCCTCAACACACTCTACACACAAGGGTTCAAGCTGAAACATCATTTGCATAATTTGGGCATAAAGATTGGCATAAATTAACCAGGAGCCCCAACCAGCGAGCAGCATGGACTTAAAGGGATTGCCACGGCTGCTTATCTGTCCCCGCACATTAATATTCAGACCCTGATGTAAGGAGGCTGCAATCCGTGACCCTGCACTCCTTCTGTTAATGTGGTGGTGTGCATGCATGCATTGCCACAGTCTGTAAATGTGGTCTTTTTATATATGAGCACATATTTAAAACAAATCAGGGTACATATGTGGATGTGGCAGCCGAGGCCATACACTGGGTTAGGTTAACAGTTTGACATGTGTGTGTGTGTCTGTATGAGTGTAGATGTGTGTGTGACTAATGGTTGGGGATCACTGGATCTGGATGAAATTGAGGGATTGTTAGGGGTGAAGGGGATGACTGAAAAGAAAATCAGACATAGGAAAGCGATGGAGAGAGACAGATGAGCCACCACCTCCAGCAATGTAATTATATGCCTCAGATTCACTGAGCAGCTGCTTCTTGATCAGCTTTAGGCCAGGACACACACACTCACACACACACATGTGAAATTGCCCTTGCCCTTGGACATCAGGTCAAAAAGTGGAACAGTGATTTAGTTAAAAAGGATGAATCTATAGTTTGTTTGTGAAGTGGTATTATAGTAAAGTGTGACTAATCTATTAAGTGGATAATTAATGGCATTCAGTCATGGCTCTTGGTGCCGTTCTCTCCCCCTTATTCAGTAACAGCCTGGGTATGTGTGTGTGTGAGGGAGAAAAAAAGGGGAGGGGTCACAAAAGGCAGGAGACTTCTGCCCTGAGGAGCAGAGGGGCCACATGCACTCACACAGAAAACACTCATTTAGTTAACAGCTTTCATTTTCCCTAATTAAACTCTAAATAGTGCACAATGTGTTTCAGTCCTCTCCCTGCACCCTCTATCCTCTCCCACCCCCACGTCCCTGTTTCTCATCATACTTTCCACCTTTGCTGCTGCAGCTGTGCACATTTCCCCCTCACGCCCTCTGTCAATATGTGTCACTCAAACTGTCAATCTAAGGAACAGTGTAGAGTTGTGAAGCAGAACTCCTGTACAGAATGGGAGCATTTCACCCAGAATAAAAAAGATTACAAGGCGAGCCGTGGGGTCAATCTCCCCCCTGTTGTGATATTGCCTGCTTGGCGTTGTATTGCAGCTGGCTGGTTGCCAACTGATTTACCCCCCCATCCCCTCACCTCTGCTGGGAAGGACATGGAAGAAACTCCCAAAAACCTTTTCCGCTAATCCCCCAACAATGGATTCTGCTGTTTTCATTGAGGTTGGAGATGGAAGGGATTCAGGCAGCGGCTCTGAACTGTTGTGTTGAGCACAGGTAAGCCTGCAGATACGGATCAACGCTCAAGTTAAAGCATTTCACTTAATTCAAGCCAAATGATCCGAGAATATGGGTATTTTTGTCCAGGTCACTCAAGATACACAGAGATATAACCAGGCACTAGAAGGTTAATACATTCAATAATTCCAAAGGTGGATGTTAGTAGATACATCACTTAATCCATCATATCTTCCTGCATATGTGTAACAAAGAAATAGATTCAGCTATTTCTGCTCACAAAGGTGAAGACACTGAGACCACACCCTTCCGCTTTTCCAAAACAATTAGCACAAACAGAGGGGATGTAGCTCAGTGGTAGAGCGCATGCTTCGCATGTATGAGGTCCTGGGTTCAATCCCCAGCATCTCCACTTCTTATTAACAGAGGAGCGTTAACCAATGATTATACATGGTAGGCTACCCCTATGCTTTTCATTACTACCCATTCCACCCAATTGATACATTTATGTGTCTACTTTGATACAGAGAAAAAATAAACTTGCCACTAGAAGATAAATAAAATCAAAGTTTAATCAAGTATATCAAGAAATGTGTTCAACTCCTTTTGCTCAAGCAGATTCAGACACTGTGACTACGTCCCTTACTGTATGGTCTTCATGTTAAGCTCGATCACCATTCAATAGATGGGCAGGCATTTAGCGGGGATGTAGCTCAGTGGTAGAGCGCATGCTTCGCTGTATGAGGTCCCTGGGTTCAATCCCCAGCATCTCCACTTCTTATAAACAAACCAGGATGTATAAGGCCCTCCTCTGAATCACAAATTATAAACTCTGGAGTTTAGTGCGATGCCATTACTTACCCTCATTGCCTTGATGTTCATCTCCTATACTGTTTGTCCCAGCAGGTCCTTTCCTCAAAGCAAACAGAACACACAGAGCAACATGAAATTAATATAAAAAAGACCAGAATATAGTTACCCCCATTCAGTAATATTTCAAAAAGCAATCGGTATTAGAACTTGCATGTCATATTGGATGTACATAATTAGGATCAACCCTACAATCCCTCGTATCTGCCTTCTTATTTCTTAAAAATTCAGGGGTAAAATGCTCCTGTCAACCCTCTTTTTCACTATTTCCAACGTTACAAGAACACAACATTTGCGGTGCTTCCAAGAAACATGTTGGGTGGCTTCTCATGTGGCTACAGCTGCATCTGCTGAGGTGTCGCAACATGTGCATGTTTTCAGTATTAATATAAGTGTTTTAATCAGTCCGATATTGGCCCTTTTGAAGTCAATTATTTCATGCAGTCATAGGGGAGAACTGTGTACGCTATCTATCCATGTGTTGTAAATTAAAGATGTTCAAACAATGCTAACCGATCAATTATTTACATGTCATACACAAGCACCACCTAGACAGCAAACACACACATGAATGCACACAAACATGCACAAAGACACAACCTATTCTATTAAAAAGCCCAGTCTAATTAAAGGGATTGTTTCAGCTATAATTAGCTTGTACTTATATAGACATTCTCTGTGTGAGCTGAAATATAATCATTACCGTCATTCTTCAAAGAACCAGGAAGTGCTCTGTAAGACATACATGCTTGCTTTTCAATAATGGCTGGTCACTTAAATCGAATACGGGTAATTCTAATCATCTAATGCAGTTATTCCCAGCTGTGAGATACAACTCTTTCTCTCTTTTGTCAGTCATCTGCAGATTTTTAACTCCACCTTTTAAAATCCGCTCAACTTGATAAGAATTTTGATCTCTCTGTTAGAGAATTACCACGGACTATCCACCACTTTTGTTATTAGAAAGCCAAAAAAAGTGTAAAAGTGGAGAAGGGCCGTTCTGTACAAAAGTAACGATTACCAGTTGATTCAGTTAGCTAATAAATCAAATGGATACATGGCTAA